CCCCCCCCCCCCCCCCTCCATGTGAAAAGTGAATCTGACATCGTGGGTAGTAGCGGCCATATTTGTTTCGCGAGAAAAAAGATTCGCTTCGCCATTACTGGATAAGTATAGCGGGTCAGTCATAATTCTCTCAAGTCTGTTATTTAATTTAAGAAATGCCGACTTGATCCCAACGGAACCAGATAATTTGAGAAAAACACTTGTGGTTTGACAAATACCACCTACGCAGTAATTGGCTAATCGCTTTCAGTGCGAATACCTTGCCATAGGCTTAGTCGCTTTATGGAGATAGTCTATACTGTATTATCCATACAAGCGTTGAGTCTGCAAAATTTTTCATGATACATATGCTTAAAACATTACATTTTGACACTAAATACATAACGATTATCGCGCTGTCAGTGCAAGTTTTCTTTGCATACACGGTAAATTTCAAGGAATTGAATCAACTCCGCCGAGTGTTATATTGTATCACCAAAAACGATGACAGAATAACTATTTTTAGAGTTGTTTCAACTCCTCGAAACTTACAGTGTAGACAACATGTTTCACAAATCTAAGGAACTGTGTACACCATTTCAACGACCAAAATCATCAAATTGTTAGATATTTAAATAACCCGGAAATATATTGTTTGTGCAAAGAAAACTTGCTCGCAGCGCGCAAATGTTATTTGAAAAGCCGTTAAAAAATTGTATGTTTACACGCGCAAAAAGTGACGTATTTAGTGACAAAATGTTATGTTTTGAAAGGTAAAATGGTAAATATCCTGATAAATTTGCTTTCAAATAACTCTTACGAGTCGTTTGGGAACACGCTGACTCGATTTAATTAAATACAAGTTATGGTGTCATATAACTGACAGAGTAATGTTATTTCATTTATCACTATACTTTTGACAGTCACAGTTAACGAAAGAACTTACGGTGGCCGATAAGGGCCACCTCTGCTGCATGGAAACGCGACTGTGCTGCAAGGAAATGCGACTGTGCTGCATGAAAACACGATTGTGCTGCATGGAAACACGACTGTGCTGCAAGGAAATGCGATTGTGCTGCATGGAAACACGACTGTGCTGCATGGAAACACGACTGTGCTGCATGGAAACACGACTGTGCTGCATGGAAACACGTCTGTGCTGCATGGAAACACGACTGTGCTGCAAGGAAATGCGATTGTGCTGCACAGAAATGCACCTGTGCTGCATGGAAATTGACGATCAACCTCGTACCAAGGGTCCCCGTGTTTAAAGGTTCTGGTGCACGAGTTGGGACCTTTAAACACGGGGACCCCTGGGTACGAAGTTGATTGACGATGTCAGTACAAACACAGATGGCCCAATATCGCAAGCGTCAGTATAGTAATGTGTATTATAGTAAAATTATGTGATAAAATATAAATTTTAAAATGAAATTGACTTGCCTATTTGATAGTGTGTGTTCTCCTTTTATTTCTCTTTTGTTAGACTAATATTTTTCGAGACTTTGCACTCGATGGACGATGACACTAATATACATACTATATGATACTTTAGGCAAACTACTTACAATCATCGATCCATCTGCACGGCACTTCGAATCTAAAATTCTCCCACTCAAATCGCTTTATTCTCCAAAAAAATTCGCAATATTTGAATTTTGGGATAGGTAATAGGACCTCTACATGCGTCTCGGACCTGTGGTTTACTTATATTTTATAATCATTATTCATCCAATGGATTTCTTATATTTTCAACGGGGTCTTGAAATAGACCATCCCGTGAAATATTGTGTATAAGGTGCACGCGTGTAATGCGTGCGTTGTTTTGTGTATTTTTATGTAAATCCATTGTAGAAATATCGTAATTGAAGTTAGCGTGTATTGTATGTAAAGTTATTACTTGGTAATTGATAGGTGTGATTTGATGATGCACATGAATTTATCACAGGGCCGGATTCGACCATACTGCGATATTGCAAATTTGGAATTGGTAATAGGGCTTGCAATATTTTAATTTTGGAATAGGTAATAAGACCTCTACATGTGTCTTGGA